TTAGACCGAGGAGCAGACGCAGCACAAACACCCTGACACCAGTCACCAAATCAGAGGAAACTCCTCCCACAATCCTCGGCTGCGAGCCCGCCCACCCCCTTCTCCCATCACCTCCTCTGACACTAACATGCGTCACCTGGTGGTCATGTCAGCCACTGCAGTGCTGCTTCGCTTCCTGTTTATCAGCGTTTCACAAGATGTCTGCTGTTTATCCTGGGGGGGGTGATTGGGTCATTGTGATGTCACTAACAGGTAAGATAAAGGTGAGGGACCTCTGTGACACATGGTGAACAGGATAAACATCTGAGATGCAACAGACAGGTGACTCACTAACCTGTGATGTCATCATTGTAGCAGCATGAGTAGTCGTAGTGACTGACGTAGAGTTTGTTTTGTTTGAGTCTTTTTCAGATGTGGTACCACCCTCTAACTCCACCCGTAGGTCTTCTAAAACTAAAGCAGCTGATTGATTCTTTATCAGTCTCATTTCAACATTGACCCATCTCATCTCTTCAGAGGTGACTCATCTTAACCCCGCCCCCTACACACTGAACATCCCAAAATACATCCAGCATTACCTCCTAACAACATCTCTAAAATCTCAACCTCCCAACTCAACACCACCCAGAATCTCCACCTGTCCACTGGACTGAAGAGTGTTTGGAAAACTTTAACGGTTTGTTTTAGCAGATGTAAAGGAGCCGTGTGTCGGATTTACAGACTGTCAGTGAACCTTTCACACACCGCTCCTTTAAAGGACCCTGCTGAAGTCAAAGATGGACATGAAGGCGTTGTTCTGCTGCCACTTTAATGCTGTTCAGCTGACGGACAGATGGGGGCAGTATTGAGCCAAAAACACCGTTGCTGGCTATGTTCAAACTTGTATGCTCGTGTTTACAACACAGGAAGTGATGCACAGGAAGTCGTGCCGTCTCCTCGAGTACGGTAACGTGACCCCATCTAAAATGTAGCAACGAGTCAGATACGACAGGACAGGAGACGGCAGGTTAACAAACATTGAGGTAAACATAGAGGGTAATATGGCTCCACAGAATATGATGGATTGATTGATTGATTGATTGATTGATTGATTGATTGATTGGGGAGCGCAGTAACAATAGTTTTCTTTATGAGTTCACAGAAAAACGACCTGATTCACTGACTCGTTTTTTATTTGATAACTTTTTTAACTATGAAAATGAAATTTGGTTTCTGAGACTTTTATTATTCTGCGTTTGGTCAGATATTTTACAAACCAAAGAAACGTCACTGTGTTTGTCTCCAAACCATCAAACTGTTCGCTTCAGTTTCCTCTGTGTTATTAATGAGTCTGAACCTGGAGCTCCAAGATCTAAAGAGAGTCGACCAGTATCTGAGTGACATCATGAATCTCAGGTGTCTGATTGGTTCACTTGAATCTGTGAGTCATTCACATGTCGATCAGATGAACACAAACAGGTCACAGGTGATAAAACAGAAGTAAGATTCGATCCAATGTTTCAAATTTCAAAAAACGTTGGTCCTAAAACATGAAAAACATGATGTCCTCTACGGTGTCCACGTGAGACACAGTCTGTCCTACTGTCCTAAAACAAACAACTTATTTCCATCTACTCTTCAGGTTTATTCTCTAACAAACCCCAAGCCCCCAAGCCAAAAACCAAAAACTGAAGCCCACATCTATTCACCAACATCCCCAAAATACTCCTGCTAATGAATCAGATGACCTCAGGTCCCCCAGCCTAACAGCCCCCAGTGTCCATGACAGGACGCAGGACATCCTCAGCTCAAATACCCAAACTTTATTGACCGTGTTAGAAAAAGACGCTGTCATCCTCTGACTGACTGTAACAGCTGAGACAACATCAGCTGACATCACTCTGTTTATCTGTCCTCCTCCTCTACCTGTCTCTACCTGTCTCTACCTGTCTCTGCCTGTCTCTACCTGTCTCTGCCTGTCTCTACCTGTCTCTGCCTGTCTCTGCTTGTCTCTACCTATCTCTGCTTGTCTCTACCTGTCTCCGCCTGTTTCTACCTGTCTCTACCTGTCTCTACCTATCTCTACCTGTCTCTACCTGTCTCTACCTGTCTCTACCTGTCTCTGCCTGTCTCTGCCTGTCTCTACCTGTCTCTGCCTGTCTCCGCCTGTTTCTGCCTGTCTTTACCTGTCTCTGCCTGTCTTTACCTGTCTCTGCCCGTCTCTACCTGTGTCTACCTGTCTCTACCTGTCTCTACCTGTCTCTCTCTACCTGTTTCTGCCGGTCTCTACCTGTCTCTGCCTGTCTCTACCTGTCTCTACCTGTCAATACCTGTCTCTGCATGTCTCTACCTGTCTCTACCTATCTCTACCTGTCTCTCTCTACCTGTTTCTGCCGGTCTCTACCTGTCTCTGCTTGTCTCTACCTGTCTCTGCGTGTCTCTACCTGTCTCCGCCTGTTTCTGCCTGTCTTTACCTGTCTCTGCCTGTCTCTGCCTGTCTCTACCTGTGTCTACCTGTCTCTACCTGTTTCTGCCTGTCTCTACCTGTCTCTACCTGTCTCTACCTATCTCTGCCTGTCTCCACCTGTCTCCGCCTGTTTCTGCCTGTCTTTACCTGTCTCTGCCTGTCTCTACCTGTCTCTACCTATCTCTACCTGTCTCTACCTGTCTCTACCTGTCTCTACCTGTTTCTGCCTGTCTCTACCTGTCTCTGCCTGTCTCTCTCTATTTGTCTCTACCTGTCTCTGCCTGTCTCTACCTGTCTCTACCTATCTTTACCTATCTCTGCTTGTCTCTACCTGTCTCCGCCTGTTTCTACCTGTTTCTGCCTGTCTCTACCTATCTCTGCTTGTCTCTGCCTGTCTCTACCTGTCTCCGCCTGTTTCTACCTGACTCTACCTGTCTCTACCTATCTCTGCTTATCTCTACCTGTCTCCGCCTGTTTCTACCTGTCTCTGCCTGTTTCTACCTGTCTCCGCCTGTCTCTATCTGTCTCTACCTGTATCCGCCTGTCTCTGCCTGTCTCTGCTTGTCTCTACCTGTCTCCGCCTGTTTCTACCTGTCTCTACCAGTCTCTACCTGTCTCTACCTATCTCTGCTTGTCTCTACCTGTCTCCGCCTGTTTCTACCTGTCTCTGCCTGTCTCTGCCTGTCTCCGCCTGTCTCTATCTGTCTCCACCTGTCTCTGCCTGTCTCTACCTGTCTCCGCCTGTCTCAACCTGTCTCTACCTGTCTCCGCCTGTTTCTGCTTGTCTCTACATGTCTCTACCTGTCTCTGTCTGTCTCTGCTTGTCTCTACCTGTCTCTACCTGTCTCTCTCTGAGGACACCTTTATAACCCTCTGCCCGTCCCCCTCCCCTCAGAAAACCATGAGCAGATACACCTGGGAGTGTAAGACCAAAGAGGAGTCCGACTGTGAGGTAAGACCTGATCCCAGAGTCCTGCCCCCCTTCTCTCATTGTTACTGTGGCCCTGTCAATCATCTTCTCTGAACCAATCTGAGCCCTAAACCCCTCCTTAAATACCACGCCCACTACTACGCCCGCCCCCTTAAATCAGAACAGAAACATGACATCCTCATCAGAGACAGGTCCACACATGTTGCGTCCCTTGTTAGACTTGAGTAACGTTTCTCAGTGGACTGAATTAGTTGAATGAGGTCTTTCTGTGAGATGTTCACTGACCTCTGACCTCAGTGTCCATTAAGACAACGACGCTCAGCAGAGTGAAATCTGAGCGTCAGTCAGAGACAGACACAGAGTTCAGGTCTTTTCACACCAGGGACCAAACAAAGTCTCTCAGAAACGACGTGAAGCTGAAGTGTCCTCAGTGTCCTCAGTGTCTCCTCTGCTGTGGACGCTGAATCAGCTCAGACAGACAGATGGACACAGAGTCCACTTGACCAGAGTCCCCCTGACCAGAGTCCACCTGACGAGTATCCATCTGACCAGAGTCCCCCTGACCAGAGTCCACCTGACCAGAGTCCACCTGACCAGAGTCCACCTGACCAGAGTCCCCCTGACCACTGTCCACCTGACCAGTGTCCACTCAACCAGAGTCCCCCTGACCAGAGTCCACTCAACTAGAGTCCACCTGACCAGAGTCCACCTGACCAAAGTCCACTCAACCAGAGTCCCCCTGACCAGCGTCCACCTGACCACAGTCCACTTGACCAGAGTCCCCCTTACCAGTGTCCACCTGACCAGTGTCCACCTGACCAGACTCCCCCTGACTAGTGTCCACCTGACCAGAGTCAAACTGTCCAGAGTCCACCTGACCAGACTCCCCCTGACTAGTGTCCACCTGACCAGAGTCAAACTGCCACTCGACCAGAGTCCCCCTGACCACAGTCCACTCGACCAGAGTCCCCCTGACCAGTGTCCTATGAGTGACATGAGTGTCCACCTCACCAGTGTACATTTAAAAATCACATACATGTGGAAACGTTCATACTATCCTTAACACGAAGAGAACCCAAACACTGAGACCGTCAGGGTCAGGACCCAGGCTGCAATCAATCACTCTATGACATCACAGTGACATCACACAGGCCCATAATATGACAGACCCATAATATGACAGTTTTTCTTCAGTGAACACACACACAGTTTTTCGTCAGTGAACACAACACACTCTACACAGAGCAGGTCAGTGAACACAACACACCGTACAAAGAGCAGGTTCCGAAAATCCTCAAAAACATCATCATCATGATGAAGATCTGCTCTGATCCCTCCAGAAGGTGTCGGCATGAAACATGACATGAAACAACACCACATGAAACAAGATGACATGAAACAAGATGACATAAAACAACATGATATGAAACAACATGACATGAAACAACATGACATGAAACAACATAACACGAAACAACATGACATGGAACAACACCACATGAAACAACATGACATGAAACAACATGATATGAAACAACACCACATGAAACAACATGACATGAAACAACATGGCATGGAACAACACCACATGAAACAACATGACATGAAACAACATGATATGAAACAACACCACATGAAACAACACCACATGAAACAACTCTGACATGTCGACTCTGATTGTTTAACATGAAAATTGTTGGCGCTGACGTCGATCGATAAACACCTGAGAGACAAAGTTAGGATCTGTCCATGTGCCTCCTTCACCATCATCATCATCATCGGAGCCCTGTTTATCTCTGTTCCTATTCCCCAAAACATGACACCTGCTCTAAAGCTCTCGTTACTCTGTGCCCCCTCCACGCCCCCGCCCCCCCTCCTCCAATACACACCAATGAAATCCAACAAATCCAAAACATTTTCCAGTTTCACGCTGACGGGCGGACAGAGGGCCCCTACCCCGTCACCATGGAAGTGACGTATCCACATGTCCTGCCGGAGGTTACTATCTAACCAGCAGCCGTGCAGCCGGTAAATGTTCTCACTGTTCAAATATCCTGTCAGGGCGGAGCCTCAGGGTGTGTGTGTGTGTGTGTGTGTGTGTGTGATGAAGAGGAGCGTCAGGGTCGATGATGTCACGCAGAATTAATGGGGATAAGAGGCTGGAAACAGAGTTAAAATGGACTCCAGGATCGATGTGTCCCTCTGACCTTAATTAAATCCAGATAAATTAAATGAAGCTCTTAAAACACGTTGTTGTTTTTGCCCGCAGCGATAGTTCGGGTCTGTGTGTGACGGTGGTACCTGAATGTATCATCAGACAGGCTTCACTCTTAATTTGTCTCTGTGTGTCTGTTTGGGACAAAACCAGTGAGGAGGTGAAGCAGGAAGAGACGGGGCGATCTGCATGAGCGACCATCACAGGAAGTGAAAGGGGGGGGGGGGGGGGGGGGGGGGGGGGGGGGGGGGGGAGGGGGGGGGGGGGGGCACAGGGGGGGGGGGGGGGGGGGGGGGGGGTGTCCTGCATGTGGATGTGCATGTGCTTCCTGGTTTGCCTGAGGGGTGGGAGGGTGGGGGGGGTTGCCCATGCAGCTCACCTGTCCATCTCCTCAACCAAACATGACATCCAGCCAAGCATGAAGATGATGATGATGATGAAGAGTAAACTGACCTGAACTAAAATCATGGTTCAGTTTTAATATTTGATGTTTCTGTTTGTTAAGAACGTCAGTGTTTCCTTTACTACTAATCTGATGTGTCATCACTGCTGAGTGTGTACCCTCTTTTCTCTTCTACACTCTGAAGATCTGCGATCTGAATCTGCTCTGTCACATCTGCAGATTTTTTTATACATCGTTATAAAGTTACAGCATTAAAGACATTTTGATTTGTCACCAGTATTAATAATAACATTGATGTGTCAAAGTGTCCCTGTAAATCATGACAGTCAGTGTGTTTCCATGACGACAGAGAAAACAGATTTATTTAAAATCCATGTAAACATGTTAGTGTGAGTGCATTGGTCCTAAAGTGAATTTGTCACAGTGGGACTAAAGGCTCAATTATGCTCCCTTTACGTACGAAAATGTATACGTCCGTTTCAAACGATGTTACCGTCACTGCCCACATACTTCCATGCGCCCTTTACGTTGGCATGGATGTTAACCAATATATCCACCAGGAGGCAGCCCAGCGTCAAAAGTTTAAGACAACAACAAACTCAAAAACAAACATGGCGACTGAAGAGGAGATATTGATAATGTACCTCTTGCATAAAAGACAAAAACAGAGGCAGCGTTGTAGGACGCGGTGGTCGGTGAAGCTGTTAAATACATCGCGACTGGAGGATGGAGAATTTTTTTCTCTAGTACTGCCGATGAGAGAAATTGAATTGTTATTTCTTCTTCGTGTCTCACTAGAGCTACGTATCAGGCAGTGACAGCAACACTGCCCCCACGGTTTCCGATGGTACTGCTCCGTTTGGCCCATATCCGTAAACTTTATGGAAACGTGCAGAAATACGGACGAAATGAATGCAGAGCACGGACAGAAGGCTCCGTCCGTATCCGGATCCGTATTTAACGTTGAGCATAAATGGGCCTTAACACACCCAGATCATGTGACTCCTGCATGTATACAGTCAATCAGACCCAAACTGGCCGAGGCGCTCTGAGCATGCTCCACAGTTTCCGCCCCGGGCTTTGACCCGGAAGTCCAATAGCATTAAATGTGTAAGAGAAGAAGAAGCAGGTAACAACATGGAGAAATCTACATCCAGAGCAGTGACTTTTTGGACGGACCAAATGTACAGAGCTGTAAAGTTGTCCACCATGGTACCAGTTAGCTGCTAGCTAACCGTAGCTAACTTGTTTGTCCATTGTTTGGTCTGTGACGTAATAGGTCAACAGGAAAAAGGTCCAATACTAACAAGCTGAAAGGGGGCATATCTCCACCTATCGTAGAGGAGTCGCACATACTTGGCTCAATAAATGGATTCCCCTCCCGTGCTTGTATACTGGGACAAGGACAGTAGGCCAGTTAAACGTCCTCATCCAGCTGGAACATGGAGACGTCCTGAGTCAGCACAAAAGTGTGTTCCTTTATCTCGGCTGGGTTTGTCACTCAGCTCCAGTTTTAAGAGTCAGTGTTCAGAAATGAATGGAAACCAGCAGGAAGAATAGATCCTCAGATGTGAAACTGTCGAGTAGCTTCAGAAAACAAACGTAGAGATTTGTGGTTAAGGAGCTGAAACTAAGGCAGTTCTTTAAAGCACGAAAATCTGTTGGAGTGCATGAAACCAAAGATCTGAGTTCATCTTTGTTTCCATCATCAGACAGGAACATCCATCCATCTCCATTGGACGAGTCTTCATCAGCAGACTTTGATGATCTCATGTTTTTAACATTGGCTTTTTCAACAACATCTGCACAAGCAAACATGACAATATGTTTGTGAACACAGGTTAAAGGTAAGTAACAGACTTCTGCATTAATGACAGACGTCTTCAGCTGGAGTTAGGCAGGTGGTGCAGACTCGTCCAGGGTGGTGCAGACTTGTCCAGGGTGGATGTGACGTTCTGTTTGTTTGTTTTTTCCTTTAACAAAGATGAACTCAGTCTGAAGTCACTCTGAATCTGACAAAGAGTTGTAAAGTAAATGTTTCCAGCAATCGGCAGCTTCTGAACATGAAAGTGTTGTTGTGTTCTAACTGTACTTTCTGCCCCTACCCCTCCTCCTTTACCTCCACCTCCTCCACCCTCCCTGGGTAGGATGATCCTAATTCCCAGAACAAGCTGGAGGACCCGGTGAAGGCCCCGCCCAAGGAGGACGACTCCCTGAACATCCACAACTCTCTGACCCCCAAACACGAGAACCACAAGGTGCTGGGCGAGGAGAATTCGTCGGAGGTAAACTCACTGCAGAACAACATGATGTGAAAACAAAACAAAAACAACTCCAGCAACCCCAAAACCACCAGGTGCGCCGGCAGCGGGAGCCCCCAAACCCCTCCCCGCTGTCCGTCTGTCTGGCCGCTGCCGAGCGCGCCTGACCGGTTACCAACCAACCAACCAGCCTGCCTGCCAACGTACCAGCCAACCAACCCAGTCTGCAACCGTCTCCGACACGGCAACACTGCCACCGAGCGGCCCTGGCCGCTGCCAAAAACCTACAGCGTCTCCACCGCCACCGCCGCCAACGCCCCTGCTGAGAGTTAACCCCCCCACCCCTCCCCCACCAGCCTCACCCTGCTGCCGCCATGCAACCCCCCGATCTAGTCACGCCCCTGTTTTGCAGCCCCGCCCCCTCGTTGCTGTCACTCTACTCTCCCTGATCTCGTACCTGCACACACACACACACACACACACACACACACACACACACACAAAGTGAGAACATGAACACACTTTTTTGTGAACACACAACAACACGTGCTCACTCCCAACTCGTTGGCGCTTCGTCACTGGACTGTCACGTGTTCATGTGACACTCTCCTCCTGCGTCTTGACGCCATGACAGTTCACGTCTGTCCTTTCAAAATAAATTTCTCTTTTCACAAAAAGTGCTCGTGAGATACAGACAGGTTTTTTCAAAATAAACTGACACCATCAGTGAAACACCTCGTATCACCAGTAAAATAACATCTTGGTTTGGCTCTACATTCAGACAGGAAGTGAACGGCTTTTCTCATCAGTGTCTTACACAGGAATCAGTGACGAAGCGTCTGTGTCTGACCACACACACACACACACACACACACACACACACACACGTGGCCCCTCCCCCTACCTGCATCGGTGTATTTTGTAAAAAGAAAAAAATCCCTCAGAATTTAAAATGTCATGTAAAAAAAAAAAGCTTGTGAGAGGTTCGATGTTTGTCTGATTAATAAAGTGAGTGTGTTTAAATATTGATCGACTCTAAACAAACACCACATGTCTTTGCTTTCATTGATGTGATTTCTAATCCTTTGATGTACTTGTTTATGGGATTTTTTTTTTGTACTTTTTTGGGACTTCGAACAGAATAAACAAACAAACAAACAAGATTCAGACAGTTGTTGAAATAAAACTTTTTAACATGACCAACCGTCCTTTGTGTTCCTCCTTTATCCCTCTGAACTCCTACACTCTCTGCATGGCTTTGAAAACAGCATCTTACACCTCATTACTGCACCTCCCCAATCACACACACACACAAATACAGATGAACTTTGACACCAGTTGATTAAAGCCTCAGGGCTCTAGTTTCCCGGCGCAGCACAGGGTGGAGCAGGGTGGCGAACCCCCGCACAGAGTTAGTTTTGAGCAGCGCAACCCGAGGCGCGCTGAGTTTGGTAGTTTGGCAGACCGAGGTGCGCTGAGATGGGTGTGGCGGCGCAGCAGGGGGAGGTGTCGACAGATCCAGCTTGGCGCAGTGACAGTTTCGTGCCAAAAGGCTTCGCCAAAGGTGCGCTAAAAGCTCGCCAGCTAAAACCAGGTCTACTGTCAGCGCAGGCGGAGCGCAGCCGGTGTAAGCCAAAGTTTGGCTGACCGGCGGACAGTGCGCACACGTCACCAAAACCTCACAGGCAGGTTTCCAGAATATCAGGCACATTAACGATGCAATAAATACCCAAAAACCACTATTCAATGCAACTATCTGCAATCAGCACGTGAATGTATCTCTATATCGACTGTCCCGTCACATCTGATGTCAGATCAAAGGGGATTAATAACATTTGGCACGTTTGGCACGTTTGGCACACGTAATGGAAACCCAACCTGATTTGATTAACACAGCTGCAACCTAATGAGTTCACATCCCTCTCAGCCAACCACAAACAGCCACAGCATCAGATAGGGAGTATATATTCAGCATCTGTCATCTTAGAAAAGTCAAAAGAAAAGAAACAGAGTGAGACTGCGAGAGAGAAAGAGAGAGCGCGCGCACGAGAGAAACTCAACATTGATTTACAGTTGTGGTGACCTCCTCCCAGGCTACCTTTGCATCATCAGCCCGTGGAGGTCTGCTCGCAGTTCCGTATATTCGGACACTGCGAGCTTGGACCTCCCGGACCAAAACATCAGTTTCCTCCTGGGAGAAATTTGGCCGTCTGATGCTGCTGCTCTCTTCCGCCATGGCGAATTGAGCAAACTCTCATTACGCCTTCACACGGCGCATTTATGGGCGAGGAGAGGGGCTCATTTGATTGGTGTGATGTGTGTAAAACCCACTCCACGCCTTCTCCATCCTCCCTCTTTCCAACTTGTGCCGGTAGGAGGGACGGAGATGGGAAAGAGGAGTAGCTGCGCCAGGGCGCACAGTGTGCCAAACTTACAAAATCTGCCTGGCCACACCCAGTTGGCGAAGCGCAGGTGCGCTGCGCTGGGTAAGTGACGGTGGCCTCGTAGGACAAAAAGTCTTGCACAGACAGCAAAGTATTTCGAGTTATTCAGGAGTATCTAGCGACGAGGTGAATATTTATTTAGGAATCTAAACCATGTTACGATATGTTATAGCTTACCAGTGAGATATAGGTTATCTGTGAGATATGTGTTAGGACTCTTTTATCTCTGTTATAACTGTTTTGGTAACACGAGCATTAGCACAGTAATGCTAAAATAACATGTTTTATGTGATAGTCACGGGACAGTGCGGCAAATATAGGTTGGTACGATTATAATATATGCATTTCCAGAGTGTTCTTCCACAGGACACAAGGAGAGGAGGAGGAGGGAGAGGGAGACGGAGAGGAGGAAGACCAGGGAGAGGAAGGGGCGAGGGGGTAGAGGTGGTGCAGGAATGGCCAGGCGAAGAGGTGTGTCTCGGCTACTCAGAGGAAAGAGGAGGAGGAGAGGGCGGCAGCCTTCGCAGCAGTGCGAGAGGAATCAGCAGATTAGGCTGTAGGCTAGGCTAACCATTTAGCTGTAGCTCTGGGATAATGTTAGCCAAGCCTAGGATAATGTTAGCACATAAACGTAGCCGTCACTGGAACTTAGACGAGAGGGAAAAGTAGTTGCAAACATGAAGCCAAAATGATTTTAAATTATCAGATTGAATTACCTGTCTAGCAGAAAGCAGGCAACCTCCGCATCCCTTGTGAAATCCTTCTCCTTCAGGAATTCTTTCCACCTGGAATAAACAACACCAATATTCACTAGAGTTTTGTCCCATCCTCACTTATCTGATCTTTTTCTTTTATTTGGTGGCGTGGTTTCCCTCTTACGGGGCAAAACATATGTGTGGTCCTCCAGTTAAAGTGCGACAGAATCATAAAAGTACAAAGCAGGTTCACGCAAAAGCGCCCCGGATTGAGGTTCACCTTAACCGTCTCCAGTGACAGCAAGTTCTAGGTAAACGCGAACAGCGAAGTGCATATATCCCTTTCGGCCACTGTATTCAAATATGGCGACGCAAGAGGGCAGCCTCCAGCATGCCTGTGTATATATAAAGAAATCATTCTAAGCCTTCCATTTGTATGTGAACTGTATTATTTTAATAAATATATATTTATGAAAGCAATAGTTGATATTTGCTAATAAACAACCATGTAAATTACACATTGTAACTTTAAAGTTAATAAAATTAAAGGTAAATAAATGAAACTCTAAAAAGATTTTGAGCTTTGAATTAACTGAATCTGAGTCTGATGAGGACCAGAGACCCTGAACACAGCATCACCTTTAACATTCCAGAGACCCTGAACGCAGCAACACCTTTAATGGACCAGAGGTGGGGGTTGTTGAAGACGTAGAAGGAGAGTATCAGAACCAACATGTCAGATAAATAGTTAAACTGTCAGGAACCAGAACATCTAGAGATTTAACACTAAATGCTAAGATGAACAGAAAGTCTGTGAAGATATGCTCTGGCTTAGGGTTAGGGTAACCCTTCCAATGTTCTGTCCTGGGTCTGTCCTCCCCGTGTAAGCGTCAGTTTCCTCCAGGTGCTCCAACATGTTCTCCCCGTGTCAGCGTGGGTTTCCTCCGGGTGCTCTGACATGTTCTCCCCATGTTAGTGTGGGTTTCCTCCAGGTGTTCTGACATGTTCTTCCTGTGTCAGTGTGGGTTTCCTCCAGGTGCTCCGACATGTTCTCCCCGTGTCAGCGTGGGTTTCCTCCAGGTGCTCCGACATGTTCTCCCCATGT